GAACTTGGTGTCACAACAGAGGAGATGCTAGTTTTTCCTACAACTCACAGGACGTGCTCCACACTAAAGTGTCTTTACCCGGCCAGAGTATCTTCATGCCCAGCTTGAGAAATCCTGCTCTAAATAAAGCTGGAGCAAAGAGCCTAAACGGCACACAGTGTAAGTTCTGCACTTTTTTTGGAGTAGTTGACTAAAACCTCTACACAAAACATGAGTGAACATTGATGAGGTGAGTTGTATTGTGACAACTCTTGTTGAAAGTGACTGCTACCCAAATGGTACAGTTCCTTTCATGAGCTCTTAGTGTATGTGATTTCAGGAGCCTGAGGCAAGCCTAGAACAAGTTTGGTTTTCCCCACTTGCTATGTGAAAAACTGCAGGACGACAGCTAAAGGGATCATATTATCAGGATAAGAAGAACATGCAGGTAAACAAGCTGGGAAAACTACCTTTTTCTGTAGTACCTGCTGCAGGAAGAGAGATCTTGGAGCCAGGCTGTAGTCACAGCTATGTAGGTAGCTCTACAGTGAGTCCTCCTTGGGCCATTGAACATTCGTGGATTGCCCATGCTGAGCCAGACACTGCAAAGCCCAGTCCTGTCTCAAGGACCACCCCTGTGAGCCTTTATACTCAGGAAAGTGTTGGGCCCTGTGACTGACAGCTGAGGAGCCTCCGTTGAGGGAACCACAAAGATGACAACACGCCCATTTGTAAACCTGGCAGCTCTTGGCTCTGAGAGCCTTGCCCTGAGTTTTCAGTGAGGAGCTCCCCTTTGAGGAGGTTAGAGACTGGTCCGAGGGAGTAAGTGGCAGAACCACTGCCAAACTATGCCTCCTTGAGATGTGAAGCTTCCTGGTTCCTCCCACCCAAGCCCGTCAGGTTTTCTTACCATACTTCTTAATGTGATCTTTTTAGCTAAACTTGAACAGGAAGCGGTCAACCTGTAAGACATTTATCTATTCAAAGAGCAAGCCTTAAATCCAGTCATGGCTAACACACCAGGAAAATTTTAACTAATGTATTATTCCTGGCTCAGTTGACCAGGATGGTGAAGAAACACACCACTCTAGTGTACCTATTTTGGCCAGATCGGCAAAAACATTTTAGTTTGTGTGCCAAGATGAGAAAGGTTGAAAATAGCTGTACTAGAGTACCACATGCCATATCCCATGTGACCTATACTGCAACTCAATACTTTCTTATCCTTCGGCATTTATCATTTGTCTGCATAGCTACACTATAACTTTTAAAACTATTGGAAATGGAGTGTATAAGAACATATCCATTCAACTTATGTATATTTAATCCTACTAATCTTACCAAGGGAATTTTTCCTAATGGTTTTACTTGATAAGTATATTTTAAACCAACTCACCACCTGTATTTTGGTGAGAAAGCATTTAACAACCGTGAGTTAGTCCCAACATTCAGTCCTTTGGGTAGATTCAGAAATGTCCTGCACATCCATTGACAGCCAGTGGGGAGCTGGTGGGCTCTCGCTCACTGGAGGAGAGGATGGTTCTGATGGGCTGTTGGCCCCAGCTGCCTGTCTTCAAGCCTGAGAATCAAGAAAAGGGAATGAAAGACCAGGAGAGAATAGTAGTAAGGCAGTAAATTGGCCTCCAGTGGGCAAAAAATACTTTCAAAATGACTGGGAGAACAGAGAGGCCTCCTGGAGGTGCTGGAGAAGAAATGCAGGAAGGATGCCTTGCTCTTTGTCACTCCCACTGCCCATATGCACTCAGGCCAGCGAGGTCCTTTGTGTTTCCTACCCAAGCTAAGACCCTGTAGTTCAGGTTGGTCCTGCAAACATACTTCAAACTAACCCAAGTGATTTAGTTGTGTTGTTGTCTTTACAGTATGTTGAGAGTAAAAGAAATGCATATAAGGAATGGAAAATTCTCTGTCCATAGAGCACTTCCCAGTAAGTCATTTCATCAGGAACTGTTTTCCTTTCTCATTGCATTTGGATCTGCCTTCAGAAGAACGATCTTAACAGCTAACAATAAAATTAAGTCAGATTTTTAAATCCATTGTTTATTTTAGACCTTTCTACTGAGAGGAGGCTATTCGGGGGTTTTGTAGAACATCTTCAGGCTCTTCAAACACTGATGGCTTTGTCCAAGACTTACACAAATCATGCTCCTCTTGGGGACAAAAGTGAGTCGTGAGTGTTAAGAACCTTGCAGTCCTTCTGAAGACCCTGTTCTGCAGCTGCTTTGCATCTCTGCCGATATTGAAATGGGTGATGAATCAGCAGCACATTTGCTCTGCCAGCTCTGGTGTGCATACTCTAAACCAGCGGTCACCAACCTTTCAGACCTCGTGGCCCACCGGTTGGTGACCGCTGCTCTAGACTGTGCATTTCACGTGCAGTTGGCCATCGAGGTGCCTTTATAGGAGGCACACAGGTACTGTCAACTGAGAGGGACACTTAATACTTTAAGGCCTTTTCATAACAATGATTTTGCTTCTTTTGGAAAAGAAAGACACTGACCAAAAGTCCATTTTACCTGAGCTCAGAAGCCCTTTGTGACCACCAGAATCTTCAGGAAGGTTAACCATGCAAGATAGGAAATTGTGACATTAGAATCGTGCAGTTTCTTTGTCAGGTAGATATTCTCCTCTTTTCTCCTTACTTCAGCATCTGTGAGCCTATCATTAGAGTGATAATGAAATTCATGCAAATTTGTGATGAGACCTTCAAAGTGCTGTAGAATCCAGGACAAAGTTAAAACCAGTTTCATACACACACACACACACACACACACAACCAAGTGTTCACTCCCTCCATTGAGTCATGCGTATAGTCAGACCTTCCTAGGCAGTGGTCGTTTAGGGTACTTCTCAGTCCTGGTCGCTCCTCCCAGGTATCCCCCTGCAGGACCTCCCCGCTGGCATGTGCTCACGTCCCTAAAATTGCAAATGTTCTAGCTTTGCTTGGGCCTCATTTTCCCAGGAAACTGTTTTGTGTTTTAAATGAGTGCATACATTGGGAGGAGGAGGAGGCAGGCAGAGAGGGACATGCCAGTGACTTCAAATTAACTAACAGATCTCTAATTTAGATTTCTTGGCTGTCTATTTGATCCTGTATTACATCATAAAATAAGCCTTTTACATTCATTTTTTTGAAAACCCACTGACTGGTATGTTGCTTCCTGCCCGCGTCACGGACTGTGCCTTGCTGGGTTTCTGCTCAGTGCACAGGCTCTAGAGAGGGTTGGTGGCAGCCCTGGAGGGTGTGCAAGGGGTCCCAGCCCAGGCCGTTCAAACACCCATCCTCAGTGTGAATTTTTAAGGGATGAGTTATTGGGTTGGGTCTTTTCTGCCTGCCTCCCCATCACATTTCATATTTCATATCAATGTCAACTCTTCTTCCTTTCAGGCAAATGAAATGTTGCTCAGTGGCCGTAAGCTGACAGCGCAGGAGGCGTGTGGCAAGGGCCTGGTCTCGCAGGTGTTCTGGCCTGGGACCTTCACCCAAGAGGTCATGGTTCGCATTAAGGAGCTTGCCTCGTGTAATCCAGTTGTACGTCAAATTTGTTCTCTTAAGTGTGTGACTTTTTGTGTGTTTTTTGCCATGACCTTTTCCTCCAGAGAGATCAGACTTTTCACAGTATTTCCCTGAGCGCTCCCTGCAAAGCCACCTTCATGGGAAATACTGACGGGAGCCGTAATGGATGCCAGTGCTTCAGTCTGCTTACCCTGTCCTCCCTTTGCAAATGCCCAAGAATTAAAGGAAAGCATTTCAATCTCAAGTTTAGTAACTTAAAACTGCCCTATATCCCTGGCCAAATGGTTGCGGGTTTGATTCCAAGTCAGGGCAAGTACAGGAAGGCAACCAATTGATGTTTCTCTCTCCCTCCCTCTCGAAGATCAATAAGCATGCCCTCGGGTGAGGATTATTTTTTTTAATCCTGTAAAGTCTACCAGGAAACAACATTTATGTAGCTCTTCACTGCTTTCAAAGCCCTTTCACAGAATCACTTTTTCCACACAGTAGCCCTAAGTTTTGTCTAATGTACTGGATAATCTTTTAACAAAATTGCACTTGCCAAATCATAAGGTGAAATGTTATTTGATGTTAATTGATCTAACTTCCCTCTAAGCCAGTGATTTTCAACCAGTGTGCCACAAGAATTTTTAAAACGTGCAATACCTGACTATTAGAGGCACTGATCTCTTTGCCCTTAAAATAAAAAAATGAGAACAGCCAACACAATAGCTGTCCAGTGTGAATTAAAATTATACTTTTTTTTGTCAGATCAGCAAATGTAATCTTTTTTGGTGTGCCACCAGTGGAATTTTATAGTTTGTTTGCCATGAGATGAAAAAGGTTGGAAACTGCTGCTCTAAGCTATCCCACACATGAACAGCCCTCATTATTAAAATTAAATTTTAGTTTAAAAATCCCCTCAACAGACATTCTCCCCGTTTCCCTGGAGCACCAGAGTTAGGAGTGGGCTCATGCAGCACAGCAGGGTGGACCACGGCTGGTCTTGGCGTCGGGAAGAGGCAGGGCGTAGCAGACAGTTCAGCTCGCTTTTGAAATAGCTTGACAACCGTTTTGACCTTGAGAATGTGTCTGATAGTGTAAAATAGACTTTGTACATATATTAGGCCTGGTGTATATTGTGAGAAACGTCTGGTAGCTTTTTTTTTTTTTCTTATACTTTATTGATTATTTTACAGAGAGGAAGGGAGAGGGATAGAGAGTTAGAAATATCGATGAGAGAGAAACATCGATCAGCTGCCTCCTGCACACTCCCTACTGGGGATGTGCCTGCAACCAAGGTACATGCCCTTGGCCGGAATCGAACCTGGGACCCTTCAGTCCGCAGGCCGATGCTCTATCCACTGAGCCAAACCGGTTAGGCTGATAGCTTTTTTTTTTGACAGGTCATTACTCAAGTTTGATAATTATTCACACAAACTTGGGGTGCAGTGGAGCCAGTGCTTGCAGACACACACCTGCTAACTAACTGTGTTGTTTGGTCCAGGTGCTGGAGGAATCCAAAGCCCTTGTACGCTGCAACATGAAGACAGAGTTGGAGCAGGCCAATGAGAGGGAGTGTGAAGTGCTGAAGAAGATCTGGGGCTCCGCCCAAGGGATGGACTCCATGCTGAAATACTTGCAGAGGAAGATCGATGAGTTTTGATTGGCAGGCTGCCTGCTGATGACACTGGAATTGAAGAGCAGGACATCTGTGGCTCCAAGGTGCCTGAATCCATCCTCACAGCCTGAAACATGTTCACTCTTAGCTCACGCTTGGAAGCAGGACTTGAAACATCCAAGCTATTTATTATCAAGGAGTTTTTAAGTACTGTAACTTTAAAATAAATAATTACAAAGCTCCTTTGTCCAAACATCATTATTTTATACTTAATATTCAGACAAGTATGAGAGTGTAATGGTGAGCACTAGACTGCTCGTTGCAGCTCTAATTTCTGCTATCTTTGGCTTGTACTGTATAAAGAAGAAAGTGTGTTTTGCTGGTTTGGGGTTGCAGGGAAAGTCTGGATAATGTTTGTTTTCTTTATTTTTTCCTTCTAGAACAGACTCTAAAGAGGCACTAGAAAGCCTCATCTCCCCTGCCCCAAATAGAGATATAGAAGGATCTGAGATGTGCTTTTTTCTCCAAGAAGGCACAGATAACTCAGATGAAAAGTCCAAATCAAAAGTAAGACTTACCTTTTAGGATATTTCTGATGAACAATCCACTGATGAACGTGCCCCCACACTAAAGTACACTTAGGATTTATGCTGAAAAAAAAATCAGTTGCTTTTTCCTTCTCTTTTAATATATCTGGTTCTCACCCAGTTAACATGGAGAAACCACTGTCTCTGGAAGGAAGCTTGTTTTGCAGTCCTAGTGACTCACTGAACAGCCTAAGTATGGTATCTAAGCTATTAGTTAGCCTTAGTGGGGTTTAAATAGTGTCTTTGACCCTTTTGAAAAAAATAACTGCAATGCTTCTTGTTGCTGGGTGAGAAATGCTACTTTATATACAATTTTGGTTTTCTATGTGCAGATATGATTGCTGTATTACACCAAAAAAAAGTATTTTTATGTTTATAAACTGTATTTTTTAGTTTCACTTAGAATATATTTTATTTAATAAGTTAAAATTCTTTTGGCACACTATTAAATGCAGAAACTCCTTTTTAAGAAAAAGAACTACCTTATATTCGATGTTTAATGTTCTTGGTCTCCGGGTTCATGTCTACACAATACACTGAGTACAGTGTGGTGTCCAAGAGTGCCCTACGTAAACAGACATGCGCACTGCTCTCAGGAGTGGGGCCGATTCCTGATTACAGAGGCCTGCCATTAGGCAGGCTTCTGCGCTTGCAATCATATTGAATGTATGAAGAGTGAAATAAAATCAAAACCTTATTTTTGTACAGTTTTAAATTTTATACTAGAACTGACCGCCTCCTGGCTGCGTGGAGAGCTGTACAGTGTATAAACCTGCCTTTACCTGGGATTGGTTGGTGCAGTATTTTTGCATCTGTGGGACCTACTTTTTTGTTCAGTAGTTTGAAATATATATAAACTGTACAATCTGTAAAGTTTTTATAGAATAAATATTCAGCTGTGAAAACTGGTTAAATAAAACTAATATTTCTTAACACATTTAAAATGTTTCTCAAAATTCTTCACTTCTGAAGTTTCTCAATGAATGTATTTTTGTGAAATAGGAGCATAAAACATTTGTACAGTATAAAGAGTGCCCAATCACTGTGTAACTACTCCTAGGGAGGAACTAGAAAATGGCCAGTGTCCTCCCAGGTCACATCCACATCCCCCTCCCCAGGTTGCCATTTTCATTTCCTGAAATTTGTGTCACTCATCCTGTTGCTTCTTTTTCAAAGATGCATATTTTTAGCATATATTAACTAGTTCTGCATATTTAGAATTATATTGTATCCCATATAAGCTCCTGTGATTTATATCTTTGATTCAGTATTAAGAGACTTTTCTATTTGTACAGAAAGTTATAATTTATGGCTTCTTTACCCAAACCTACAGCATAGATATTTCCATTCCTGTTCTAGATAAAGAACCTGAGGTGTGACACACTCACCCAGATCATGTGGGTAACTGGTCAGAGGTAGGACCAGCCTTCCAGCCCAGTTCAGTGTGGCAAAACCTACATTGTGATGACTCCCCTGTAATGTTTGTCTCTTAGAATTTACAAATAGGGAACTGATTCAGGAGGCTCATGCTCAGTCTTGGTGAGGGTGACAGAAAATGTAGCCTCTCATATTGGTGAAAGTCTAAATTAGTTGAACTTTAGAAGAGAATTTGATAGTAACTGTCAAAATAAGTATTAAAAACCTAGACCCAGTAAGTCCTATTTATAAGAATTCATCTTAGTGAGTGAATTCTTGCAGAAAGTAAGAATAAAGATACATATACAATTAAACTCATCTCAGGATTGTTCCTACTAGAAGAAAGTTGGAAACAGCGTACTGTGTTCATCAGTAAGGTTTGTGTTAAATAATTATGCTACAGCCACACTGCTGTGGGAAAGGAATGAAGTCTTTATAAAATCTTAGGTGGAACAGCATACCAAAAACACCCATTGTATGCTTTTTTTTAACTTTTCAAAATATACTTTAATTCATTTCAGAGAGGAAGGGAGAGGGAGAGAAACATCAGTAATGAGAGAGAATCACTGATCGGCCACCTCCCACATGCCCCCTACTGGGGATCGAGCCCACAACCAAGGCACGTGCTTGACTGGGAATCGAACCACGACCTCCTGGTTCATAGATCAACACAGCCACTGAGCCACACCAGCCAGGCCTATTGTGTGCTTTTAAAAGGTTAAAAAACCATATTCTGTTCTGTTTATCAAGTCCTCTCCCCTAGTGCTTCCCAGCCCCTGGGGTGAAACACTACTCAGCCCCTCGGAAGTTGAGGTAGAGGTGGGTACTACTGCCCACTAGGGCTTCGACCAGGGCTGTCCCCTTCTTGCCTTGATTCCTCAGCTGTGTGGCAGTACCAGCAGCCAGCACTTACACTGCCTGAGCGCCAAGTACTAGACCGAGCACTGCTGGCTCGTGTGATTTTTTTAGTATACTGTTTTTAGAGAACATTTATTGATGTAATATATTTTTAATAATATATAATCATACAATGAGAGCTGCCAAATCTTTTGGTAGCTGACTTCGTTTCTGACATCCCTTGCAAGAAGACTGAAGAAATCAAAAGACCTTGAACTTTGAGATCTTTGCGGGAACTCCATGCCTACAATGTAAAGGGAGAGAAGTGCGGGGAGAGCACCTGGCAAGGGCTGCTCACGTGGCTCCTCTTGGCCCCTGTTACTTGGTCAAGAGTGAACAAGGGTTCACTTGGGGTTTTTTACCCCAAGTCTCTGGTTAAAGCAGGAGCCCAGAGGGGCATGGGCCAGCCTTGACCAACTCCCCTTTGGCCGCATCACAGGCTCCAACCCACCCATACATGACCTCTTCATTTACACTAGCATGAACACATGTTACATCTCCAAGGGAAGGGATATGTGTGCCTTGCAGTTGAATTGGTACCTACCAAGTAGTGACGTGAGAGGAACAGCCTGGGACACGGCTCCGTCAGCCTGTCAGTCTGGCCCTCAGGAAGCTCAGTTTTATCTGCTTCCCCCAAATTCCAGGCCAGCTAGCCCATCCGGTGGCCTCTTACCGACCTTTCTGTCTTGTAACCAGCATTCCCCAGCCCATGCCCTTCCTGTCCTAAAGTGCACTCTAATGGCCTCCAGGACATGCCAGGGGGAATCTACCCTCCCTCCACAAGAAGGCAGATTCTGGGCAGGGGAGAACAGTCCTCAGAGGAACCTTTGGCCCTTCAGTAAAGCCCAGATCGAGTGGGAGAGGGTCTGTGGCATTGCATGCACCTCTTTATACAAGAGGTAATGGGCCCAGAGGGGTCAGGTGATCTTCCCATCATACAGCCTTGTATGTGGCCTGGCATTCAGGAGTAGCTACTAGATACTGCTTCATACTCCACTGCTCTGGGTGCCTGCTTTCCTCAACAACTTCACAACTTTACTTGCCAAAATCAGAATGAGACAAAAACTGACTATGGCAAGTGTCCAGTGATGGGTGTCAAACGTTACACATTAGAATTACCTGGATTGCTTAGCACACGAAACCAATTAACTCATGACCTCCACACTGAGATCCAAGTATCTAGGGTATTTGACCAGGGCAAGTAGCTCGACTTGTCTGTGCCCGGCACTGGGAATGAGCAGGAGGATGGCCTGGAAAGCCCAGTCTATTCTGGCCCCCACAGCCTGTGGTTCTATGGGCAGAAGTGGAGCAGTTGGACACGGTGGTTTGAGGCTATTTGGCGACTTAGGATTTAGTACTTTTTTCAAGTGAGGATGGACCTACCAGAGGGTTTTGGCAATCAACAAACTTTCTGCATCTGTAGGAGTTGGTATGTACTAAGCTCTTAATACATACGAACATTCAGAAACAAACACCCTCACTGCTTGGTCACAGGGGAAGGGCTATATTCCAGGAGCTCCTCCCTATCCTATGGGAACATTCCCAGTGTCTGAAGACACAGATAAATACTGCTTTGAGAGACGGGGGAAACCAAGATGGCGGCATAGGTTAACGGAGTTTGCTGCCTCGAACAACCACTTCAAAAATACAACTAAAAGACAGAACGGACATCATCCAGAACCACAGGAAGACTGGCTAAGTGGAAGTTCTACAACTAGGAGGAAAGAGAATAGCATACCGAGACTCAGAGGAGGCGCAGTGCTGAAGTCAAATACTAAGGTGCGCAGTGCATGCAGAGCGGGCTGGCGGCTGAGGGTGTGGTTGTCTGTTTCAATTGGGAGGGAGGCTCAGGCTCTGAGCTCCAGATCCGGGTGAGTCTCTAGGAACCCAGACTCAAACGGGAGAATCGGGACTGTCTGGCTTCGGTTGGAACTCGAAGGCAGTTTTCTCTCCGAGGTTTGCAGTGGTTGCTGGGACTCTGAGAGGCAGAGCCCCTGGGGACGGGACTGAGAGCAGCCATAACTGCTTGCTTCGCCCGCCTTGTAGATCCCCTGGGACCCGCCCTGCCCAAGCCCCGCACAGAGGCACTTGCCAGATAGCCTCAGGCAAAGGCTAGATTAGCACTGCCCTAGAGATCCAGCACAGAAGTTCTCCCACTGCAGACACAGCTGATTCTCATAGGCAGTTGGCCTGGAGGTCAAATCCCCGCCAGTATTACCTACAACAATCAAGGCTTAACTACATCAAGACTGTGCACAAAGACCACAAGGGGGTGCACCAAGAAAGCATAAAAAATGCGGAGACAAAGAAACATGACAGAAATGGAGGATATAGAGCTCAAAACCGCACTTTTAAAGTCTTTCAATAATTTTCTAGAAACTGCCAATAAACTTAATGAGATCTACAAGAAATCTAATGAGACCCTCGATGTTGTGATAAAGAACCAACTAGAAATTAAGCATACACTGACTGAAATAAAGAATATTATACAGACACCCAACAGCAGACCAGAGGAGCGCAAGAATCAAGTCAAAGATTTGAAATGCGAAGAAGCAAAAAACACCCAACCGGAAAAGCAAAATGAAAAAAGAATCCGAAAATACGAAGATAGGGTAAGGAGCCTCTGAGACAGCTTCAAGCGTACCAACATCAGAATTATAGGGGTGCCAGAAGATGAGAGAGAGCAAGATATTGAAAACCTATTTGAAGAAATCATGACAGAAAACTTCCCCCACCTGGTGAAAGAAATAGACTTACAGGTCCAAGAAGTGCAGAGAACCCCAAACAAAAGAAAGCCAAAGAGGACCACACCAAGACACATCATAATTAAAATGCTAAGAGCAAAAGACAAAGAGAGAATCTTAAAAGCAGCAAGAGAAAGAATATCAGTTACCTACAAGGGAGTACCCATATGTCTGTCAGCTGATTTCTCAACAGAAACTTTGCAGGCCAGAAGGGAGTAGCAAGAAATATTCAAAGTGATGAATGCCAGGAACCTACAACCAAGATTACTTTATCCAGCAAAGCTATCATTCAGAATTGAAGGTCAGATAAAGAGCTTCACAGATAAGAAAAAGCTAAAGGAGTTCATCACCACCAAACCAGTATTATATGAAATGCTGAAAGGTATCCTTTAAGAAGAGGAAGAGGAAGAAAAAGGTTAAGATACAAATTATGAACAACAAATATGCATCTATCAACAAGTGAATCTAAGAATCAAGTGAATAAATAATCTGATGAACAGAATGAACTGGTGATTATAATAGAATCAGGGACATAGAAAGGGAAAGGACTGACTATTCTTGGGGGAAAAGGGATGTGGGAGATGCGGGAAGAGACTGGACAAAAATCATGCACCTATGGATGAGGACAGTGGGTGGGGAGTGAGGGTGGAGGGTGGGGCGGGAACTGGGAGGAGGGGAGTTATGGGGGAAAAAAGAGGAACAAATGTAATAATCTGAACAATAAAGATTTAATTTAAAAAAAATACTGCTTTGGTGAAAATGGCATTGTATAATTTGAATGGTGGTTTAAAAGTTACTTTTTTGGTGTGATAAAAAAAATTCAAATACCACCCATATGGAACATTCTGGGGGGGAAAAAAAAGTAGATACCAGATATACA